GCTAAAAGTAAATGAAGAAGTTCTTTGATGAAAGAACTATTTGTTTTAGCGCAAGTTCTGATGCTGACTCTGATAAGAAACTAATTTATGCATCTTCTAAAGCTTAGCAAGTTTCCATGTAAACTATGTTCAGAAGAATTCTGCAAGCAAGCGCTGATAAGAAGATTTGCAAGCATATTCTGAAGCAAGATGTGAAGCTAGTTCTGAAAGAATAAAGAAGCTAACAAGTCTTGTCAAGTTTCAGGAAACATGCTATGACAAGTGTCGTTTGCTCATTTAATGCAAAGACGGCTACATGCACTCAAGTGTCTACGCTATTGGAAAATGCAATACTGCAAGCAAACACGCAAACATTAATTGCTCTCCACTTTTGAAGGCAGCAACGGTCATTTTCTTCATGCTATAAATAGAAGATCATTTATTGCAAGCCAACTGATCAATGACGTGAGAATATTCTGCTGATCACAATTTATTTTACAAACACTTTGTGCAAAACTAATCTTAGTGAAAAATCACAGTTTGTGATATAGCTTTTTAAGAAGCAATTTGTTTCACTATCTGTAAAGATTTAATTCTTGTAATTGTTCCTTGAGAGACCAAGTTTGGTCAGATTTCTCAAGAAGGCTAGGACTAGTTTGAGTCTTAGTGGTGTTAGTCACTTGTAAGTTTACTTGTGCTTTGAATTGTTAGTCACAACAATTTGGTTGTGTGATTGTAATCAGTTTAATTATAGTGAATTAAGTCCTTGTTGAGAAAGGCGAAATCACCTTGGCGGGTGGACTGGAGTAGTTTGAGTTCAAACGAACCAGGATAAAAATAACTGTGTCTTTCCATTATTGTTGAGCCTTTAAGAAAAAGAAAAAGAGAAACGTATTCAACCCCCCCCCCCCCCCTTCTAAGTGTTTTCTCAACCTTCAATTGGTACCAGAGCTTGACACTGAGCGCAACACTTAACCGTGTCAGGAAAAGATCCAGAAAGAAAACACAAATGGCAACTGAACAAAACAACAATAGCTACAACAAACCTCCTGTATTTGATGGAGAAGATTTTGAATATTGGAAAGATAGACTATAAAATTTCTTTCTAGGTCATGATAGTAATTTATGGGATATAGTCTTGGATGGTTACACACATCCTACAGACTCAGAAGGAAACAAGATTGATAGAAAGATTATGGATAGACAACAAAAAGATGATTTAAAAAATCACCATAGAGCTAGAAATATCTTTCTAAATTCTATCTCTAAAATGGAATATGAGAAGATCACAAATAGAGATACAACACATGATATGTTTGAGTCTCTCAAAATGACTCATGAAGGAAACACTCAAGTGAAGGAGTCTAAAGCTCTGGCTCTCATCCAGAAGTATGAAGCCTTCAAAGTAGAAGAAAGTGAATCTATAGAAGCTATGTTCTCAAGGTTCCAAACTATGATCGCTGGCCTGAGAGTTCTAAACAAGGGATACACTAAGGCAGACCATATTAAGAAGATCATCATAAGTTTACCCAGAAGATGGGCACCTATGGTCACTGCTTTCGAAGTATCAAAAGATATGAAGAAGGTGTTGAAACAACCGGCTGAAAATCATCAAACAATGAAGTCGCCATCGAACGTCTTTTATCCCACAAGTAGGGAAAGGTAAACATCGAGAAAACCCGAGAAGGATGAAATCAAGGTCGAACGACCAAGAGATAAGGGTAAGGGAGTCTGTTACGCAAGGGGAAGGTATTAGCACCCCACACGCCCGTAGTACTCTACGGTATCCACTCTTGTTGTCTATCTTATGGGTGTGTTGAATCTATGCTTACTGTTCATTACTGCTAAGGGAAAATGCATGCAAAAGAAAAGGAGAAAAGAATGTAGGGAAAATAAAATTGTGCTCGCCTGGGCCCTACCCCAATGCCTACGTATCCTTTTTGAGGAATCAGAGCAGCCGTAGTTCGGCTTATGTGTTTTTGTTTGTTTGTATTTTCTTTATCGAACAGTATTAATCTCGCCTTCTGCCGCAACCCGACCTTTGGAGATTTACGCGTCAGCACAGAAGTGAATTAATACGCTCTTTTGAAAAGGGTTTGAAAGAAAGGCCCGAGGGCAAAAAGATTTTTATGTTTGTTGGTGTTTTTGCTTGTAGATAATAGCTAGTCAACCTCAAGAGAGAGATTTTAGCCATTTATCTACTTATTCATGAAATGAGTCTTTGAGACTTGAATCATACCAAAACTTAGAACAAGAGAATAATAATGTCGAGAAGAAACCCGCTCATCATCTCTCAAACTTAGCCAAGACATGCTTTTTGTCAGTAAATTTTTATGTATTTTTGAAGTTTGTAAAAAAAGTTTTTTTGTTTTAACTGCATATGCAAAGGAAAAAAAGAAAAGTCACAGGGAGACTAACCTATTTCTAAACCTAAAGTCATCATACCATGCAATCTATGGGAAGTGATAAATGTGGGGTGAAAATAGAAAGAAAATATACCAAACGAGTACTAGCTCGTAGAGCAAAGTAAAAAGCAAAGAAACTTGATGATCTCACGAGCTGCTAGCATTAACAAAGAAAAGAATTAGAAATCCAATGCTCGGAATAAGTGTTGAAGCATCATCGATGTGAAAATAAATCTAATCGAAAACTCAAGCATATCCGCATATCACACAACAAACCTGCATAAGACTCAAATCTCGAAAAACAACAGTGAATCACAAGTCTCAAGTAATCGAATAATTATGAATTAATTTCTAAAATCAAAATAAAAAATCTAACAAATTTTGATTGATTTTTATCATGGAAAGATATAAAAAAAAATTAAAAAAAAATCCTAAACTCTACCTATTTTTCTTGTTGTTTCATTAGCATTAGTCTTTATTAAATAAAGTTTAAAAGAAAATTTAAACTGAAATAAAAACTAAAACAATTAGAAACAGATAGGGGGTGAAAATTAGAATAAGGGTGAGGTTCAACAACAATGGCGCTAGGGCCCAACTGAAAGGTATGGGAATTCTTTTTGTTGTGTCAATGGCTTCCAAAAAATGTATGGGCTCAAGGATTCGGTCCACCAAACAATATCACAGCCCGATCTTCCATTATCAGCTTTCATTTTAATTCTAAAAAAAACGAGGGGAGTTAGGGTGAAGAAAAAAGGAAGACAGTTGAGTTTCATCGTGAAGAACTCCCTCCTCCATAACTCACGGCGGTGCAATTCGGCCTCACTGTTCCACCATTTTCCTCCACTCATCTCTTCGAGCTTCGATTTTCTTCAAGAATCTCTGCCCTCGTTGCTCAACCTTCGTTCACGCTCCGCCTCAATGTTCGTTTTTGATCCGCCTTGGTTCACATGTCTCTCTTCCATCAACCTCTTCGCGGACTAAAATTCAAGTTTCATTCTTCGACAAAGAGCATAAAATGTAGAATGAAAGATTGAAGAAGGCTTACCAACCGGAGAAGGCACCTGGTGTCTCTTCGAGGGTGATGCCGACAATGAAAAATCTGAAGAATGTTCAGGTACAATATCTCTTAACTTCTTTGCACGACTTCTTCTTCTTCACGTTCGATACTGCATTTGGTGTTGATTGATGTGCTGCGTTTCGAAATCAATGAAGATTGTTGTTGTTGTTGTGGATTTTCGTTGAATATGATGCAGCAACTTGGAGATGCAGAAGATTGGCGCGTTGAAACGGTTGCATATATGGGATTGAGACAATGAAGATGATGATGGTTATGAGCTGCAGAAGAAGCTTGTTGTAAATGATGGATGAAGTTTGAAGATTGCAGGAATTATGATGAAGATTGGGTTATGGAAGTTGAAGATTGCAGAGAGGGAGTACTGAGAATTTTTATGGAGATTTTCTTGGTGTGGATTCTTCAAAAAAATGGTGAAGAATGAGATGATTGAGAGGTAATAGAAATCCCTTTTTTTTCTGTGTTGAATATCCTCTTCCTCTTCTGTCAATCCCCATTATGTATATATGCTGGAAGTTTTTTTTTGTAAAATAAGCCATGAGTTTGTTATGTGGTTAGTTAATTCTGTTAGGAAGTTAGGATGCAGTTTGTTATGCAGTTATAAGTGGTTAGAAGGTTTGAGAGTTTGTTATGAATTGGTTACTGAATGTTAGGTATGCTGTAACTGTTTTTGGGTTAGTTAAGTTGGTTAATTGAGATATGGTTTTGGATGGGAAGTTATGGTTAGAAAATTCTGTTAGGGAATTTAGTTGGGGAATAGGTTGTAAGAAAGCTGGAAACTTATTGTTTAGAAATTCTACTTTGGAGGTTGGTTAAGAAACGGTTAGGAATCTGTGAATTAGAAAGGTTGGTTGAAATTTGGTTAAGAGGTGGGAAAAAGGGAAAGCTGGTTACAGTTGAGTTAGTTTCGGTTAGGAGTTGGTTTGTTGTCTTCTGTGGCCTATCACCCTCTTTCTTTTCAGGAACTAGTAAGCTATCATCATCATCAATGGGTAAGCCAAAATCATCATACTTCCTCACATCCTTTCTGCTAGCTTTGACAACAGCAGCCATATGACTGCTCCCTTTTTGGAACTCATTCAGTATATCATAGAGAGGCATATCTGCTGGAACTCGTGGGATTCTCCGGATGGAGACAACACTGACAGGAGTATCTGTTTCTGGCCGAACTGTGAGAAGACTTTTAACCAGTAGAAGCCCAATAATGTTTTTTGAATTCCCATGATAAACAGGAACTCGGCTATGACCGCGGGCAAGAATTTTTCCCATTGCCTCCCAGTCCAATTTTGAATTAACATCCAAAGAAAAGTTGATTCAATAGGAGTCATAGCCTCTTCAGCAGTCTTTTCAGTCAAAACTAGAGCTCCACTGATAATTGTTGTCTCATCATGTGTAAGCTCGCCACCTTTACCAGCCTCCTTACTGTGGATGGAGACAAGAGCTTTTAACTGTGCTCGCCTAAATAACGCCTCATTATGACCTAATAACCAATCTAGAACCTTTCCAATAGGATAAGCAACTGGATAACAGATTATCATTAAAATTCATACAAGCCATACAAAGTTGGCACCTACAGCAAGGCCGTATCTACTACAAATGGCTTGAGGAATAACCTCCCCAAAAAACAGAACAAAAGTCACAGAGAGAATGACAGCTAAAAACGGATTGAACAGCTTGTCTAGGTATATCGGAAGTGCCTCCATAGCAGCAGCATTACACAGAAGCAAAGTCACCAGAAGCTGGTGTTGTTTCTGAACCACCGGAAGAATAACCGCTGCTTGCTTTTTCTCGGACGGAGAACCACTCCGTTGAAGAATCTCAAGATCAACAAGTCCTAATGACATGAGCCCTAGGGTTAGACCTGACATGATTCCGGCGAAGATGACAGGGAAACATGAAACTCCGGCGTAGATGATCCACCACATTGATCCGTAGGGTATTTCCTCATGGCTAGCGAGTTGGTTACGAGTTAGTAACCGAATTATCATTAACGTGTTCACCGCATTCATTGTTATCGTCCTCTTTCGATTTTCTGTCTCCACCGCTTAGAGAAATGAAGCCTGAAGGCATGTTAACAGATTGCAGGAAATCTAGATGACACAGATATGCCCTTGTAGGAATCTGATGTAACCCCATTAGAATCTGTACTTGCACCAATATTTGTCTTGTTAATCTTAACATCCAAGTAGTGGACAAATACTGTATGCATCATATCCGTTTCAAGCATCCAATAGCTTCGCCTCTGAAAATTTTCATTCTCTTCTCCATGGGCATAGTAGCAGTGTAACACATCAACACTTCCCACCTTCAACTTTTCGTGAGCTTCCCTCACAGTTTTTCCATCTTTCTTCTTTCTCCAGTTGTGTCCTGTTGGTACAAGATTCTGTTCCAACTTCCAACAACCTTAAACTATGGAAGGTTGATCCAAGAAGATCCCAATAGAATTCATGTCGTAGAGGGACCAATACAATGATTATAAGACAAACAAGATGCACCATGTCAAGATGATGTCCATTGAGGTAGTACTCTTCCTGCAGGATTTGTAACAGTTACTTTATCTATTACGATGTTTTCAATGCTGACACAGTCTAGGTCCTCATCAAGGCACCCATGGAAATAATCTTCCTTTTCTGAACCAATATTTCTTTTCCTTTACCATACTATTCTTCAAATGCAACTCGAATTCCCAACACATATTTGATGAAAATTCAAGGGAGACCTTGGCCCCAAAGTTAATTGTTCAAAGCTTACTTTAACCGAAGTCAACAGATCTTATCCACATATCTTTGAAATTAGCCCATGATTATGCATCTCAAGGTCTCATAAGAGCTTGTAAGCCCATCAACCAGGTATGCCATGTTGAACAAACCCTGCCTTGAATGCCTTGAACCTTGAATTAACTTGCATGAATTCTTCTATGAGAAACCTACTTCAATCCAAACCTACTTGCATCGCAGATAACAAATGACAATGATGAGGACAATGATTGCCTTGGTTAAGGAGAAATCTATGAATTCATATCTTAGGTCATGAACCACGCTTCACAATTCAATCCTCAGCCCTTAGCGATCGGTTCTTTCAACTTGAGATTAGCGTCATAAGGAACATTTTACAGATGGATGATAAAGTCTGAATCACAGAAGAATTCCCTTGATGTGAAACCCTCACAATCTTGATTCCTCATTCAGACGCACAGAGAAATATCCGGATAAAACATCTTTGAACCATGATTCAACAAAACCTAATTTGATTAACTGAGGAGTAGACGATTGTCACGTCACAGTCATTAATCCTAATCAAATGACAAGCATACTTATAGGAAATGACGTCATGATTCGAAGCCCATATATGCTAGGTCACGTCCTAGAGTTCTTGACCAGAATGACCTACAATCGGTTGTTTATCAGAAGATAATGGCCTTGCTGCTTGAGGGAGAAGAAGTTCTTTATTGGATATGAGCGCCTTAACCACTATGAAACCCTAGTATCGCACAACCACTAAACTTTGAACCTCAGAGCTATATTGAATGAAATGTATGCCACGTTAGTGACCTAATGAAAAAGATGCAGATGAATGCAAAAGTCTAAGCCAAAAATAAAGGAAATTCGGAGGGCAAATTTTAGGGTGCAACACGTTTCTCTTGAAGAACTCATCAGCGCTTTAAGAAGTCGTGAGATATAACTTGATGAGCACGAGCCTCAGAAGAAAGGTAAGTCTGTTGCCCTTAAATCAATTAAAAAATATGAAACTAATGCTTTTCAGGCTGAAGAAGGAAACTCTGAAGAATCTGCGTCTGGAGAAGATGAACTATCTTTGCTCTCCAGAAGGATCAACCAGATGTGAAAGTATAGACAAAAGAAGTTCAGGAACTTCAAGAAGTCAGAAGATAAACCAGAATCTTCTGGAAACAAAAGTCAAACAGAAGAGAGATAATCTGTTATGAATGGAAAGAACCTGGACACTACAAGGGTGATTGTCCAAAACTACAAAGAGAAATTCCAAAGAAAAAGTTTGGTAAAAAGAAAGGAATGATGGCCACCTGGGACGATTCAGAATCCTCTAAAGATGAATCTGACTCTGAAGATGAGAACGCCAACCTAGCTCTGATGGCTACCACAACAGATGACTCAGACTGTGAGTCAGAACCAAAAGAGGTATTCTCTGAATTTACTAAAGCTGAACTTGCTGAAAGTTTATCAGAACTTCTGGAAAACTATAGTCAACTCAAAATCAAATACAAGAAACTCAAGAAGAGTCTTGCATCTGATCTTGAGAAACATGAAACAGAAAACTCTGAACTCAAATAAAATAATTTTAAACTTAAAGAAGAAATTCAAAAGGTTCAAAAATTTTCCATTTCAGAGTCTGCGTCAAGTTCAAAAGATATTCTGAAAGAATATGACTCTAGTTTTCAAACTTTTCTTGCTAAAAGCATAGATAGAAGCAAAATGGCTTCAATGATCTATGGAGTTAGTGGGAACAACAAAATAGGAATTGGATATGAAACTCCCAAAGGGAATGAGATATATATACCAAAACCTGCTGCTAAGATGACTTTCACATATAAACCTCTGACAAACAATTCAAATTTGGACACACACATGATATTAAATATACATCACACTCTGGAAACTCTTATGCTAATCCAAAGTTCAAACAAAACTTTAAATACTCTAACCCAAGAGGACCCAAAAAGATATGGGTACCTAAGGAGAAAATAATATTTGTTGCAGATGTCCTTAATAGCTCAATTGAGACACCAGTCATGGTACCTAGACTCTGGAAGCTCATGACACATGACGGGAAGAAAGTCTATGTTCCAAAACCTGGAATTTGAAGCTGGAGGAGACGTCAAGTTTGGAGGTAATCAGAAAGTGAATATTATTGGTTCTGGAACCTTTGGAAACGATAACCTTCCTTATATCTCTAATGTTTTATTAGTAGAAGGATTAACGCATAACCTTTTGTCCATAAGTCAATTAAGTGACAACAGTTATGACATTATATTTAATCAAAATTCTCGTATAGATGTTAGTTAAAAAGATGGAACAATCCTCTTTTCTGGCAAGAGAAAGAACAACATCTACAAAATTGATTTGTCAGATCTTAAAACTCAGAATGTAAAATGCCTTTTGTATGTTAGCGATGAGAAATGGGTATGGCACAGAAGATTGGGACATGTCAGCTTGAGAAAAACCTCTCAATTAAATAAACTAAATTTAGTCAGAGGACTTCCCAATCTGAAGTACAACTCAGAAGCTCTGCGCGAAGCATGTCAAAAAGGAAAAATTTCAAAACCTTCTTTTAAATCAAAATTTTTTGCTTCTTCCTCTAGGCCATTAGAACTACTTCATATTGATCAGTTTGGGCCAGTTAAAACTGCATCCATCAGAGGCAAGAAGTATGGATTGGTCATTGTTGATGACTACAGCAGATGGACATGGGTTATGTTTTTAAAACACAAGGATGAGTCACATTTTGTGTTCGTTGACTTCTGTAACCAAGTGCAAAACGAAAAAGATTTTAGAATTATAAAAGTCAGAAGTGATCATGGAGGAGAATTTGAAAACCATTATTTTGAAAAATATTTTAAAGAAAATGGTATTATTCATAATTTCTCTTGTCCTAGAACTCCCCAACAAAATGGAGTTGTAGAACAAAAGAATAGAACATTACAAGAAATGGCCAGAACCATGATCAATGAAACAAATATGGCTAAGCACTTTTGGGTAGAAGATATGAACATAACATGTTATATTCAGAATAAAATCTCTATAAGACCTATTCTTGAAAAGAGTCCCTATGAATTGTGGAAAAACAGAAAACCCAACATTTCATATTTCCATCCTTTTGGATGTACTTGTTTTATTTTGAATACTAAAGATAATCTGAACAAGTTTGATTCTAAAGCACAAAAGTGTTTTCTGCTTGGATATTCTGAACGCTCAAAAGGCTATAGAGTATACAACACAAAACTATGATTGTTGAAGAATCAATCAAAGTCAGGTTTGATGATAAGCTTGGCCAGCAACAGCCAAAGCAAATTGATATTTCTGTAGGTAAAAAAGATCATCTCTCAAACTCTGAAAAGTCAGAAGCAAAGGAAGACTCAGAAGATCCTCCTCTTGATAATGCTCTGGATAATCTTAGAATCTCTGAACAACCCACTCAGAAAAGGTTTCCCAGAATCGCTTCAGCTCATAAAGAAGACGTGATTATTGGAAGAAAAGAAGATCCCATCAGAACAAGATCCTCTCTCATAATCAATGAAGAATACATATTTGGATTGGTATCTCTGATTGACCCAACCTCTATTGATGAAGCTCTGGAAGACAATGATTGGATCCTAGCCGTGCAAGATGAACTCAATCAATTTTCTAGAAACGGTGTATGGGATCTAGTTCCAAGACCTAAAGGATTCAACATTATAGGAACTAAATGGGTTTTCAGAAATAAACTAAATGAGAATGGAGAGGTGGTCAGAAATAAAGCACGACTGGTTGCACAGGGTTATAGTCAACAAGAAGGAATTGATTATAATGAAACCTTTGCCCCAGTCACCAGGTTAGAGTCTATTAGATTATTATTTTCTTTTGCTGTTCAAAATAATAATTCATTATATCAAATGGATGTTAAAAGTGCATTTTTAAATGGCTATATAGAATAAGAAGTTTATTCTATCAACCTCCTGGCTTTAATGACTCAAAGTATCCAAAACATGTTTTTAAATTAAAAAAGTCTTTATACGGTTTAAAACAAGCTCCCAGAGCTTGGTATGAACGTTTGAGTAATTTTCTTTTAGAAAAAGATTTTACCAGAGGGAAAGTGGACACAACTTTATTCAGAAAGACATTTAAAAATGACATTTTAATTTGTCAAATTTATGTTGATGATATTATTTTTGGAACCTCTAATATCTCCCTTGGAAAAGAATTTGTTGAGACCATGCAGGCAGAATTTGAGATGAGCGTGATGGGAGAATTGAAGTTCTTTATGGGAATACAAATTA